ACAGAAGTTAAAGTCCTTTTTCTGAAGCAGGAATGAGAAAGAGTGGGTTCCTGGACCCCTAGCATTCTCTGGGTCCAAGCTCCCTGGTTTGGGCCAGTTAACATGGCAACAATTTATCAAGAAGTACCTGGGATCTCTGTCAGGACTCTAGAAGACCTAGGCATCTATAAGACCCATAATTGCTGCCCCCCCTCCTTGGATATTTAAGCTACAAGGTAAAATTGAGCCCAAATGTAGCAGAGCTCTAACTAGCCTTGGTTCCAGAAGGTAGACCCCTTGAATTCCCAATGGCAAGATGTGCAAGTTTGCCCAGGATATATCATTAACTTGCATCTTCCTTAATAAGTTTTCAAGTTTTTGTACTAGTGTATGTTGGGGATTTATCTTATGCCTCATGAGCTAGCATATCTTCCTTTTATCTATTGCACAAATCTAGGACATTGCAGTTGACTAAGATGACTAAGCCACAGTGAATCTTAACCTATGTGAAAGTTGGAAAAGCATTCTAAATGCTTTTGCAAAATGCCCCAGTACAATGTATTATACTTAAGAATTTTATTACTAATTTTCCTGGAATCTTGAAGGGCTCCACACTCTCTAGAAGACTCCCTTATATTTATGTATATTTTTATTGATTTTAGGGAGGAAGGGAGAGGGAGATAGAAACATTAATGATGAGAGAGAATCATTGGTTGGCTGCTTCCTACATGCCCACCCCCCCCACCCACACACATCCTCGCTGCCTAGGGATTGAGCCTGCAACCTGAGTATGTGTCCTGACCAGGAATTGAACCATGTCTTCCTGGTTTATAGATCAATGCTCAACCACTAAGACATTGTGGCTAGGCAACACCCTTATTTTTAAAATACTCTTGTCCATGTTTTTGTTTTGTTTTTCTTCTCCAGTTTCTTCTAAAGTTCAGTCTAGATGGAGTTAAATGGTAAAGCTTCAAGGTTTAAGGCTCAGTACATTTGGAGATTAAATCTGGTACATTAGATATTATTGTGATTAGATTTTTCACTTTGCAACTAGAGTGTAAACACTTATAGAATGGAAAACCATATCTTATACCATTTGTATATATACCCATATACCCACTAAATGTAGTGTTTGGGTGGCTCGTGCTTTCTTTATGACTTAACTAGAGGCCCACTGCACAAATTCATGCACGGGTGGGGTCCCTCAGCCTGGTCAGCGATTGGGGCCTATCAGGGCTATCTCGCCCAGTCCTGATTGGGGTGAACAGGGCCGGCAGGCTTGAGGGAGGGACCACAGGAGGTTGTCCAGCCACAGGAGGTTGGCTGCGTTAACATCTGCCCCCTGGTGGCTAGTGCACGTCATAGCTACTGGCCAGTTGTCAGGTTGTAATGGTCACTTAGGCTTTTATATATATAGATAGGTGGTAAAAACATTCATTGGTGATTGAACTTTAAATCTCTGCTCACCCCAGAGAGTAAAAAATACAAAGAAATGTTGTTGGGGTCCAACCCCAGCAGGTCCAGGGGTCCCCAAAGGTGTGGACGGAGTCAGCGAAGAAGGAATGACACGGAGACAGCGTTCAGTTGATCAGCAGCCTAGCCAGGATCTCTAGCAGGATCTCCAGCCAAGTTCTGGTCTGGATCTCCAGCGAAGTTCTGGTTAGGATCTCCAGCCAGGTTCTGTGTCCATGTTCTCTTGCTAGGTTCTCCAGGTTCTCCAGCCAGGTTCTGTAGCCATGTTCCCTCGCTAGGTTCTCCAGCCAGGTTCTGTCCAGGTTCTACAGCCAGATTCAGTCACCAGGTTCTAGTCAGGTTCTCTTGCCAATTTCTGTAGTCAGGTTCAGTCCAGGATCTTTTGCCATGTTCTCTCGCTAGGTTCTGTCTCTAGGTTCTGAGGCCAGGTTCAGTCCAGGATCTTTTGCCATGTTCTCTCCAGCGAAGTTCTTCTGTCTCTAGGTTCTGAGTAGGTTCTGTGTTCTAAGTTCTGTGTTCTAAGTTCTGTGTCTTGCTGTCTTATTACATCTGTATTTATACCAGTTGATTCAATCCTATCAATCTCTATTACAAAGGTTAGGGCGTTTCTTATCTCCATTCCAGGGAGTAAAGATTATGTAGCTTAAGCATGATTGTTCATAGTTAAAGTGATTAATTACCCGCCTGGCACTTAGTTAAGAGGTTTTATTCCCTCCCTAACTTCAGGGGAAAATCCCTACCTGGGGAAACAACCTTTCTCAGAGAGGAGACCTTGGTTAAAACACATAGTGTCAAGAAGGTGAGAAAACATTTTAAGAACAGTATGCCATATATGCCAGGTCCTTTGAAACAGCAAGGATGGATCGGCTCCCGGCAAAATGTAAAACATACCTTCCATCCTCAGTTCTCTCAACTTTTACTGAACTGAATTTTCCTTTCTAAGATGATGAACATATTTAGTGTCTTATCATTTTTATTGATTTGGTCTCTTGAATTGCAACTCCTGGGCATTTAATATTGACTTACTAACTGGAAAATCTTCTTCTATTTAAATTATGCCCCTCCTCCTCATTCAAGTTTTTTAAACTCTACAAAGTCTCTCCTGACAGCTCTATCTGTAGAGTCACTTCTTTTTCTGAACTTGTTCTTATTTGCTGTCATATCACTTAATGAGGTGTCCTTGTATCTTTACTTAACCTTTATTATTAGGGAACTTAAAAATACTAGTCACTCAAAGGATCTGAATAGGCATTTTTCCAAGGAAGACATACAGATGGCCAACAGGCATATGAAAATATGTAAAACACCACTAGTTATTAGGAAAATGCAAGTCAAAACCACAATAACATATCACCTCACATCTTTTAGGATGGCTATGATAAAAAAGACAATAAATAAAAAGTGTTGGACTGGATGTGGAGAAAGAGGACCCTTGTATACTGTTGGTGGAATTATAAATTGGTACAGCTACTATGAAAAAACAGTAAGGAGGTTCATTAAAAAATTAAATATAAAACTACCAAATGATCTAGCAATTCCTCTTCTGGGTATTTATTAAAAAATATGACAACAAATTTAAAAAATATATGAGAACACTAATTATATATATATATATATATTCATTGAATCATTATTAACAATAGCAAGATATGCAAAAAAATGAAGTATCCATCAACATAAAAGAAACTGTGGCATACAGCGAGAGAGAGAGAGAGAGAGAGAGAGAGAGAGAGAGAGAGAGGGACCACACAGCAATAACAAAATCAAATAATTAGGGAATACAGTTAATAATGTTGTAATAACTAGGTATGGGTACTTGACTTATCAAGGGATCAGTTTGTAAGTTTTATAAATGTCTAACTACTGTAGTATGTGGATGGATCTCGAAGGTATAATGCTGAGTGAAATAAGTCAGATGGAAAAGAACAAAAAAACATGATTTCACTTATATGTAGAATATAAAACAAAAAAGTAGCAAATGAACTAATAAAACCAACCACATAGATACAGACAACAGAATGTTGGTTAGCAGAGAGGAAAGGGTTTTGGGGAGGATGACTGGACAAAACAGATCAAATGTATGTTAACAAAAGGAAACAACTTTTGGTGGTGAGCATGCAGTAGAGTACACAGATATTGAATTATAATGTTGTACACCTAGAATTTATATAATGTTATTAACAGATATTACCTCAATAAAACAAAAATAATAATGGCCACGGAGTTAACTTCTGATACCTTTGTATATTCCCAGCACTTCTTCTTCTCCTTCTGGCAACAGACCCTCCTCTCAAGGCAACAGTGTGGGCATATAACACAAGTTAGTCCAGCTCAAGTCCTTCCCTGAAGGTAGGGTCAAATTCTATCTGAGCCATCTTATAGTTAGAATGCAAGTGAGAACTTGGTCCAGCCAAGTCACCCAACATAAGTAAAAACCTGTCTGAACAAAAAAGCTGACTCCCCCCAAAAGAGACAAAAGACCTAGCAAGCCCTGAGAGTTTCTAAGCCCCTGGATCCAGTTGTCCCTGAGCAAGTTTCCTCCCAAACATTCCCATGGTTTGGTTATATCAGTCAATAAATTTGGGTTCTTTTTGTTTTGTTAAGTTGTAGACTAATTTGAGTTTGTCACTTGCAGTCTTGACAAACCAATTATAGATCCCTTGAGGAAGTCATACCTTTCTGTGTTCAGTTTTACTGTTTTTGGTCATCCCATTGCACCTAGCACCCTGCAAAGAATAGAAACTCAATCAGTAGTTGTCAAACTAATAAGTATTTGTTTTTATTAAAATTCAGAAATATAAGACCCTACAAGTATTAATAAAATTATTATGTGTACGAAATCATGAGCAAGAGTCTCAAGAAATACTAATACTTTGGTTAAGTCACCTGTTTTCAGGAACAAAATGTACATATTTAACCAGGTTGCAAATATATCCTTGTCATTAACAGGCCATTACCTCTGTAAACCATTATTCAAATGCTTTATACCTTCTCACAGTGGAAAATGCTTAATATAAATGTGTTCAAATGTTGATTTTTTTCTTTCCATGTTAATGTACTGACGATTGTATAACAAAGTGTATATATGTATATATACTTATACACACACACATACATGCATACACTCTGTGTGTATGTATGTATGTGTGTGTGTGTGTGTGTGTGTGTGTGTGTGTGTGTATTGCTTTAACCACCTTCCTGAAAAGTTTATTTATTGCATTTAGAAAACCTGGGGTGTAAATATAACCAAGTAGAAGTTTGCTCCACAGTCTCTTTTACAGGCCCCTTTCCATGAATTCTATGTGCAACTTGTTCATGAATATGGAAAGTATCTGAAGATTTTCTTTTAACTTGTCTTGATTTCCTTGAAGACTCTGGCACACAGCATGAGATTAAAATAACCTGGCCTTGCTGGCCACTTTGCCCACAAATACCAAGGAATAAATATTAGAATGATGGATTCTCTTTCCCTTGTCAACCATGAATGTGTTCCAGCCAAGGGCAAGGTCTAAAGAGTAATTCAAAAATAAACAAATAGAACCAAAGAGTAACTTTATTCTTTTATTCAAAGTTTATTAAAATACAAGGACAAATTGTAGAAGCACACATACCACTCAGCACCAATATAATAACACTCTTTCTACTGATAGTCTCCAAAGCATTTCTGTTTCTGCAACCAAGAAGCAGAGATACACACATGCATTCTCACCACATTTACCCAGTACTCATGGCATCATGCCCCGAATATTCTCCTTGCTGGGAAGACAAAGATGGGCAGAAGCAAACGAATGTGACTACATCCAACCACTAACTGAGTCAATGACTCTTTGGTCAGTAGTTATCATTCGCACACTGGTAGCCTCCACACATCCCAATCTCCCTCTTCGGGGGCCCGATTATTTGGGCTAGTGATGGAGTCTGGTGATAATGTGATGCAAAACTAAAGAAAACTGGCCAACATTCCCTACCCAATATCTTATCATGGCTTTGGTTGTATAATACTAGATACTCATGTTTCCACATCCTCCAATTCTAACACACATGAAAACCACACCCACCAGTGACATGGTCTGGAGAAGTCTTGGGAGAATTTTATTTATTTCCCAAAACCTTCTGTGGATTTCTTTAATTTATGTGTTTACCTGTTCATGTTTTCAGGGGGGTAGGAGGAGTTTTGAGCCAAAATTATGACTTCATTAAACATTGCTTAGGTCTTCAAAGGCTCCTCAATAAATATTAAATAAACTCTCTGGAGCGCTAGTGCTGCTGCCCAATATAGGCAACAAGCCCTGACTTGCATGAACAGTCTTGTTTGGATATCTGTACATGTTTGCTTTCTTGGTTTAGACTCACTGTGGAATAGAAATGGGTCTCTTAAGACTGAGGCCTTGCTTCTGGTGCTATCCAGAATGTAAGGCATTAGGAAATGGCCCTTTGGCTCATCCTAAAGTCACTCAGGCCTCCTCCAAAGGTGTGAAGTTTCTTTTAGAATTTTCCCAAATACGTACACCAAGGTCTTCCCACCTAACCACTTCCTGACTCTCCCAGGCCCTGCCCCCTTCTTTCCTAGAGAACCTCAGGATACTATCAAGAGAGTGCTGATCACCAAGCAGAGGTTGGTACTTGTGCTCCATTCTAGAAATGCATATCAAGACTGGGTTTAGCTTCTATTTTAAAAATAAAGGAGGAAGTAAGGAGGAGGTTTGAATATAACAAAAAACACTTTAGCTCTGATTTTTGGCAATATATTTTTTGTTTGTTTTTAAAGCTTCTAGAATTAAAAGGCTCATTGCTAGTCTCAACTGTTGAGAGATCTGACATTGGACATTGGGCATGTTCTGAAAAGCTCTAAATGCTGGTAAAAAAGTTTTCATTAACTCTTCAATAGGACAGACATCGGTGTTCACATTTTTCTCTTTGCAATGGCCATGTGATTCTAATTGAGCTTATTTTTCAAACTATCAGTCAGAGTTCAGGTGAAATAAATGCCCAACTTGATCCTCTTAGGATTTACAGAATGGGAAGTCCTGTACAACAGTACATTCCTCGTTATGGACATAGTCCATAGGACATGCTGAGGCTACCTTGCATCCATCTGGGAATTTCCCCAAAGGCCTAGATATTGTCTTTCACCTGCCTCTCTGGTATTTTATCTAGCCAGGCAGTCCTCATGCATGACCTCACCATATTTCTTAATTTTTATTCAAGAGCCCAACTAGTGAAATACACTCAAGCAAAATGAAAGGCAGCAGTCTTTTCTTTTCTCCGTGGTCATAGAATAGGCATTTCCTGATTAGTGGCAGGATTTAACTAAATCAATATGCCATTTAGAAGTTGATATTACCAAAAATCAGGGGTACATTCTATAAACAAGGTGAAGACATAGGACCAGAGATACAAAACATAAATATAAAAAGTCAGATAAGTTAAATGACAGTCACTTTAGCTACACAAAGCAAGAACAGAGGTTCTAATTTGTTTCTAAGGAGGTCAGTTACATTTTAATGTCTGTATCAAACATGTCTACTTTACTGTGCAGGCATTTTATTCATGCCCAATTAAGAAAGTCATTGTTGATTCCACTAATATTTTCAAATACAAAATAAAAAAAATAAAGTAAGTTTTGAATAGTTCCAAGACATAAGTCTTTCAAACACTACCTGTCTGAGAGAATCCAGAAGCTATGACAATATCTAAAATTGCTCAGAAACTATTTCAATAACAGACAAGCTAATTCAGTTTAAGAGGATAAACTGATAGCTCCATGTAAACACAGGGGGAAAAGATGCTTAGTTGCTAAGAACAACAACTCAAAGTTTTACATATAAAATTTTAAATATATAAAAATTTTGCCTTGTGAAAATAAGAACTACAGTTTTTCAAAGGAACATACTTTATAAAGACAGGATTGGTGGGGTGGGTATTGACAATCTAATAATTTCTCTGAGCATGTCAGCTAAGCATCGATTCCCCTCTACCTCAAACTATGAGTTCTCGTTAAGTTCATAAAAGATACATCACAGAAAATCATAAAAGTTTATGTTGAGATAAATAGGTTACATAATTAAAGACTTATCATAATTCTGATAACACCAAGCCATTCTATATATTGTAGGATTCCTGAGCTTTGTCAATTCATTTTCTCCATTGGCCCCCAACAGTCTTTCTTCCAGTGACTCTTCTATGTTCTATCGAACATATCTTTTTCCCTGATATTCAGCCTATGCCTTTGTATGTCTATTTCCACTGCCTCATTTCTCCATTGGATGATCCTCAGCCAGAGGAATTGCACGCACACAACTTTCTCTTTCTTTAAAAATGTATCACAACTGGGTGATTTTTTTTTTTATCACCCTTTCCCCAGACAACTAGCACTAACTGCCTTCACTGAATCTCATCCCCCTACCAGCTTCTCTAACATCCTGTTCCATTATTGTACATATAGAACAAAGGGGAAAGTTTAAGGAAACAAGGTGGGTGTGCTGCAACCAATTGATCTTTTATGTGCCACAGAAATCTCAACACCATTTTGAAGATAAAAATCAATGGGGCCCACTGATAAGCCTTGAGTTATAGAGTTTAACTATTTAACTCTGAAATAATCCATTTTCAATGTGATTTTTTCAGAAATTTGTGTCACAATGTCAAAATCTGCTTTGTTTCTTTGTAGGTGTACTTTGTAGAATTTAAAATACTGAGAAGCTTAAATGTTGTTGTATAAAGAGTCAGTTAAAATGGCCCTTTAATATCTAAACAATAAACTGACCAGTGATATGATTACTATATTACTCCAATCTAAAAATAAAAATAGATTTCTGGTTTTTGCAAACTCAGCTCCCACATCTTTTTCATTTCAGGAAACTAGTTCAGAAAGTTATTTTCAACTTTAGATATCTTTTTATATTAATTTTATTTTATGATTCAATTATTAATGGAATGGTCATAAGAACCTTTGATTTTACATATAAATAAAAACATATACTGTGTTTAATAATGTCCTTAAATTTATGATAGAAAATTTGTAGGTCTATTACTTATGTTACTTATAGATAAAACTATCATGTCTTCATTTTAAAGAGATTTATATACCATAAATAACTTTATATTAATGTACTATAAAGGCCTTAGATTACTAGACCTTAGCTAATAGAAACAAAGGAAGATCCAAGTCCAAATTTAAATGTCAATGGCTATTCCATTTTACCAAATTCCATACTACTAAGGATTGCCTTTGATGGGAATTATCGCAAACTAATTTTCTCTTCCTCTATTTTGCAACTGAAGAAACCATGTTTGTTTGTACTGGTCATTCATTATAGCTCACCTACTTTGAAAGAAAAACAGGGCTGTAGTTGAATGGGTAAGACACCTACCTCCCACAGCATCTGAGAATGAATGTGTATACATATTTTGAGCCAAAGAGCTCAGCATTGATTAAACACTTCTATAGAGATCAAGAGGAATATGGCCAGGCAGGGGGTATGGGGTGGGGCTGGGCTAGAAATGGTCAATGGGGAAAAAGGGGGACATATGCAAAACTTTCAACAATAAATATTTTAAAACAAAGAATGAGTAGGGCCACATCACAATTGTAGAGATGGAGTGGGACAGATCAGTACTACTGGATCCATTGGTTTTACCTCTCAATGGTGTGGGTGCAATTCACCCACTGAAAATATACGCACCACAAATACATTTCAAAAAGTAATTATTTAAAAAAAACAAACCTCAGAAATGCAAATATTAGAGTGTGTTTTTCCCTTTCAATTCCCCTTTCTCCCTTAATCTAGGAGTATACTATGATAAATATATTGATTCCCTACGTATATTCTCTATGCTACTTTCAGTTGAACTACTCCTTTTTCTGGTCTTGTGTATATTTTCATGTTTCTGTGGATAAAAAATTACTCTCAAGGTGAAACTCTATGATGCTTCCTAATCCTTCTGCCTCCTTTTCCTAGCTAGTCAACTTGATTTTCCTCACCTGTCTTGAAAGTAACTCTCAGTTTTAGATGATCATTCTAACCCTCCAGGTAGGAATCATTCTTGATATCTACAAAAACACCTGTGAGCTCTGGGATGTTTAGACTGGTATAGAGCATTACATGGCTAGAAACTAACATTTAAACACCAAGGTCCTAACCACCTGGCCTGGGTTCAAGGTACCATTGTAAATATATATTTAAGAATTTTTTAGTTGAGCTCTATCCATGCTGAATAAAGCCTAGGCAATACCCCTTATACTAACAAGAATGGTAGCTTCTTCCTTAACATGGTAGTTATTCAGGTGAGTCTTTTCTTCAGGTCCCAAAGCATGCATCAGCTGTAGCAAACAGGGCTTCTTCCTCTCCATCTTGGGATCTTTACAATCAGAAAAACTTTGAAGTTTCTTTTAGAAAGAGAAGTGATGGGGCTACTATTTAGCCAAATGCTATTTTGGGTGTTGAAAGAAGCATTGAGATGATAGAAGTTTATGTTCTTCTGAGATGTAAATTCCTGTCTTTCAGTGAGGCAATGAGATTCAGTGGAGGCAATGAGATTCAGCTGAACTAGTGGATTCAGCTCTTCACTTCCTTTCATATATATATATATATATATATATATATATATATATATATATATATATATATATATATATATATACACACACACATATATATCGCTCCATTACAATCATACCTTTAACTAGTTAATCTAGATTTCATCTCTTGTTGAAATTCTTCTCCAGCCAATGCCGGACTTCTTGGAGGTTGTAGAAGAAGGGACCCTTTCCTCCCAGATAAGCAATTTTCTGTCTCTGCACAATACACACACGTTCAAAGGCTACCCCATAGGCTACATTGGCATTATTGTCCATGCGGTCAGCCACAACTCGGCACTGGGGCGGCAAGGAGAAACGCTCCAGAAGCCGGTGGGCAGCTGCGCATCGGTCTTCCTGGTTCCTGTGCTTCTTCACCTCAAAAGACAAAGAAGAATCCCCAGGCACCGCCCAACCATCTGAAGGATGAGCCTCATCAATGTAGACCAACAGGAAGTCAGCCACTGATGAGAACTCCTCTATCAGTTTGCTGAAGGCTGGCAGCTGGTTAGTAAAAGGAGGTCAAGTGGCTGAGCCGAAGTTGACCACCAGTGGGCGCTCAGGGCAGGCAAAGTCAAGAAGGTGGCACTCGGCTCCAGCAATTATCTTCTCCTGGGCACCATTTTCATTGTCGTCGCCTCCTTCAGGATTGGAGACGTGCACCACACTGGAATTGGGGGCATCTTCACCCAATTTCACCTGGTTGTGAATAAAGAAAGAGGAAGAGCATACCACATTAAACACATTGTCACTTCAATTCACTCTATATGAAAACAAGTGGCTCTAATAAAATGTGGTGAACATATATTGATTTGAGTAAAGAGGCATCGTGGCAGGTAACGTAAAGAATGGCCCCACAGAGAATAAAAGTCTTTTTCATTCCGTGTAATCACTGAAGGTAATTATTTTTATCATTGAAGGCACTGAAGTTAACGCTCTTCATAATTAAGTTGAGGCTGGTATTCTTCCCTGTTCTTACTTTGCTGTCAATGCTTAGCACACATTATATAACAAATGATTAATTGACTTCATTTAAAAAGTTAAATGGTCTACTCTAAGACAAATTATCAGAGTCGTGGAACATAGTACCTCCTTCTGAATTCCCCCTTCTAAGCTCTAAACTACAAAGAAAAGGCCTTTACTTTCTTGCATGATGCTAAGTCATTTATTCTCATTCAATGGACAATGATACCAATGGTCTCTATTCTTGGCCAGAGATAGAAAATGTGGGATCCACCATTTATAAGAAGAAGCTAGTCCCACTTAGCCTCTTCAGCACTTCAATATTCCCACCTGTAAAATGGTGATAATGATGCCTGTCTTCCTCATATGGTTATAGAAGGATAACATAAGGAAAATAGCTCTTTGTACACGATAACTCACTGTGTGGATGTAGGCTGCCATTATTAGATGCCATCAAAATATGTAAAACAGAATGCCACCTTTCCCGGGCAATTCTATGTTTAAAAACATTTTTCCCCCAGAAGTAATTTGAGCTCTCATCAGCACGACATCCTTCCTATAGCTACTGCCTACTTTTGGCTCTTATTACTAGAACCTCATTATTTTCATTAAACAAACAGACAAAAACATTAAACTATTCCAGAATTCTACTTGCAATTTCTCATTTTTTGTGTTTTGTTTTGTTTTTTGGTCTATTTCCCTCTTTTTATCTAGGAAGTCACAAACCATTTACTCGTCTATCATCCATTTTATTAACAAGCTCCTCTGAATTATAAAATACACAGGCAGAAGAGATCTAGAAGAAAATTGTTCCAGGTGCCCTCTTTGCATGTGGTTTAAATAGTTGAACAGAGACTGAAAGAAAGTTTGCTGGCCTTTGGGTCTGTAAATTGATAATAAAAAACAGGCAACACAAAAGAGCCAATTACTTCAGTTTGAATGAACACAATTGGATCTTCCCTTAGAATGGTTTAATCAAAGCCAATAACATCAGGGACAACTTATGAAAGTACAATTGATTTTATACACCATTCTTAATATTACAAAACACTTCCAACTAGATCGACTTATTCTCCTCATATAAATACAGCCACATATAAAACTGCTGTTAATTGAAGTCATTTAGAAGTGAATTGTTAAAGATTCAACAATCCAGACTGATATAAAATACTCAAGGGTTTTTATTCAGAAGCTTCTATCTAATGTTAATGCATAACTCATTTTCACTGTAGGGAAAGAATTAAAGAAGTCCTGACTCTCCCTCCTGAAAAATCTTAGCAGGGCAGGTTTAAAACAAGTACTGGTACTTTTCTAAAAGAAATCTTAAAATAATACTCTGCTTCTTAGAAAAGCAAGCTGTTGGTATGATTTCAATAGGTACATTTGTTTTTCAAACACTATCAGGGAAAATGTTATTTATATTAATCTTCTTGGTTAATCCCCTTAGATGGATTATTTCATTTACTTATTGTTCTTTATGTTTTACTCTTCTATTAAATTTATTGGGGTGAAATTGGTTAATAAAATTACATAAGTTTCAGGTGTACAATTCTATAGTACATCATCTGTATATTGTATTATGTCCACCACTCCAAGTCATCTCTTTCTATCACCATCTATCCCCTCTTTACCCACATCTACCTCCCCTCAACCCTCCTTTCCCTGTGGTAACCACTATACTGTTGTCTTTGTCTATGAGGTTTTTTGTTTGTTTGTTTTTTTGCTTAATCCATTCACCTTTTTCACCCAGCCTCAAACCTCCCTCCCTGCTGACAGCTGTCAGTGTTTTCTACGAGTCTGTTTCTATGTTGTTTGTTTATCTTGTTCATTAGATTCCACATATGAGTGAAATTATACGGTACTTGTCTTTCTATGACTGGTTTATTATTTTATATAAGCCACACTTGTCTCTGAGGTATTAAAATATACTTAAAATGTAAAGATATATATTTTAAAGATATTACAAACCTATAATCTATGAGTTCTTTTTGTAATTCTTCGTAGATTTAGGTGGTAGGTAGCATTACCATTGCCTTACCATTAGATCTGTTCCACTTAAGATAGCAGTAACAATTCTAGCATGGCTGCTTTTAACCATATTGTTGGGCTGTGTTCCTCAATATACTTATACAACCAAGATCTGAATGCATTCAATCAGTCTGAATCCACTAGCTCTTGTACTTTATGTTAACTGAGCAATCCATACACAGGAAAAAAATCATGTCTGGACTATAGACTTGTTGGTTCTTGGTAGGTGAAAACATCCATCTGCCTTTTGGAGTCATTTTTAAGACCAACCAACAAGTGTGTGGTCTTCTTAAGTGGGCCTCCGATGCCCATGGCTCTCATCCAAGCAGCACTGTTGATCCTTGCATTATTCCTGACTATTCAACTGAATAATCTAATCTGATGCTTCAGTCACAGGTGCCTCTCTTATTTCCTGTAGTTAATTTTCTTGGAAAGTTAAAGCACTTTCTCTTCCTTTTTAGTGACAAAGTATAAGTCAGCCACATAATTCTTTCCAAAATACAGCCATACTAATTTACTTTAGAAAATTTAGAACAAATCCAACACTTTCATTCTAAATTTAAAAGTAAAGAAAGTTACCAAATACATAATGTTCTTTGTGTGTGAGGATTTGGCATTTTGTTAAGCTAGGATCAGTGTGTGTGTGTGTGTGTAAATATATATATATATATATATATTTTGAATGAATTATTGAATGAATGATAGTTGTTCTAATCCTATGTAGGGGTCAGTGAAGAATTTTACACTTAGTATAACCTTGACCTGTAATCAATATAACCATAGTTGGGTGATGAATGAGCTGAGATAGATAATTTAGAAATGTAAACCTACTGTAGAGTACCACCATCATCAATACCTAATGCTGTTGCTCTGTTCTGGATTACCTCAGCTGGTTACTGTATAAAATGAAAGTCAATCCTCTTTATTTTGTTAAGCATCTATGACCCTATTGCAGATTAGCATATAATAAGCAGATATCCTGCTCATGAGAATGACTAGGTAAGAGAAATGCATAGGTAAGATCAATGTTATTAATACTAGTAGGGGAAAACACACACCCATGATTTGTAAGTCCAAATGTGAGTAGACCAGTAGTCTGCTTTTATAAGTATCATATACTAATCATACAATTTGTCCATATTGGCTAAAAACCTACTGATGGAGGATAATTTAGCAATAATAAAGAAAAAAATAGAAGTTTAAAATAATAAAGTTTGCATTTAACTGCAAAGAAAATTTTTTACAAGGACATTATTGTTCCTTTCTCATTTTCCCATTTGGTCACCATGAAAATTAAATTCCTATTATGACCAGAGTTTCAAATGGAGAATTTCTTGGTTTGCTTGGCTATGCACCCTGCTGAGATAGAATGGGAGAATCACCACTGTCTTCAATGGTGGAAGATTCTTTGCTTTCCCCAGGAGCAAAGCATTCCTTGACAAAGAGCCAAAATGATGAAGAAAATAAAGCTGGTTCCATAATAATAACATTTAGGCTGCAGGAAAGAAGCTCAACAAAAACAAGTTATCCCTGATACTCCCAAACTTTGTTTTAATTTCCCACAGTGGCACAGAAAGTCTCCTGGCCACAAGTTACCTATCATCTTAATTTCTCCTTCTTAGAGGGTTTGTGTTTGGTTTTTGTCCTTAATGAGACATATTTGCCAAAGAGGCATTCAAAAGGCATTTTTTACTCTTGCGGAAGAGTAATTAGGTCGGTACCTCTTTCCCTGCCAGCATTAGCGGCTCTAAAGAGAACCCTGCCCAGTATTTAATGCCCAAACACAAGAAGCATCATTTCCACTAATTGGTCTTGAAGTTCCGATGTTCCCAAAGGGTCCCTTTATTTTGCAACAATCAGAAAGGACGTACGTACGTAAAATGCAATATCGTCATCACTGACTTTTATCTCTCTCATCTACACTATTACAATGGTCCTTTCTTACGTTTTTGTAATCAACATCAACACAACATCACCAACACTGGAGGTACATTAAGGGTTTGCATTTTTATGACAGGGAGCGTCTCTGGGCCAAGCTCAAATGTTGTGAGAGCCATGTTTATAAATATGAGCAAGAGTGTAACTACATGGCATGTTTATAAATCTGATTCCCTTGATGACGGGGTTCCTTTCACTCACAGTGTTCAGTGCATGGGGTGGGGGGAGTGGGGAGGAGGGCAATGCTGCTTGAACATGTGGACTGTGAAAGGAACAAAGAAAGGACCATTCGTCAATTAGAAGCTGGAAACAGAGCATATACTACTAACTTTTTTTTTTCTTTTCCACTGGACAAAATATCACCTAATCTCATGATAGAAAGTAAAGCAAGTGGTAAATATGGAAGGGGGGTAGCAGAATAGTTTTTCCACATCCTTCTTGCTGTTCGAAGTCCAGGAATGGCTTCATTCACTACCAGGAAATTTCCAATTCTTTGACATAATGACCAGGCTACATCAATGTCCTTACGAACATAGCCAAACAATTATTAAGCAGCGGTTTAACCATTTACATTCAAATTGGCCAAATAAATCAGAGTTGGAGAATAAACTACCTACTCTTTCCTCTGAATGCAGTTCACTTCTGGCCATTTTCTTTTGGATTCCTACCTTGAAACACAGCTCTGAGCTTTTATCAGTTCCCACTGTTTTATCCAAGTGATGAACAAGCTCTGGCTGTGGCCTTCTTTGTGTTCTTTGGAGAATGTTTCTCTCTTAAAAGAGCCATTTTCCATGGTAGAAACTAGTGTCAAAAGGCTTGAGGTGAATGAGGAGGAGGAGATGTTAAAGAGACCTTTTCAAAACCAAAATTATATGTTCAAATGAATATGTTTTCTGTACCACTGCCATATTAACCGTGAGGAAGCTAAACTGCTTCTCGGCATCTATACTGTGTGTTTACTTTTACACTTCATTTAGGTAGGGGCTAGCTCCCAGACAGGGCAGTTTGCTCATTGGTTGCATTTTTAGTCTTTGAGCATCAGCAGAAGGATGCAATGTTAAAAGCAATGACACTGACAAAGGAAACTTAAATGACAAATATCTGTTATTCACCTCAATCTATGAGTTTTTGTAGACTTGCCTTTTCATAAAAGCAATGCCTGGAACACCCTCTAACCAAACCAAAATTATCTTTGCAAGCTTCCCTACAAAGTTAATTTCAAATCCCTTTTAACATGTTCATGAAGAAGGGGCTTTTTTTGTTGTTGTTTATTTGTTTTATTTTGTTCTGTTTTAACTTCTGTGTTGCCTTGTGTAACAGCCAAGCCCAAGGATAACACTTTCATTTCACTTTCTCTTAAAATATCCCCATGTATCTGACATTCAACAACAGGGAGAATTAGAAAAGACATGTTTCATCGTATCTCATATGCACACACTCATCCTGGAAAACTCTGCTTCTGGGTGGCAGTCTCAAAATAGTGCAAGTCAGGGTTGTGAAATACTGTGATGCTATCTCAAACAGTACCTCCTCCAGTGTGTCCCTAGAAATGGCTACACCCAGAGATGGTGGCACAGAAGACAACAGTATTCAGGAAAGAGATTCTGAGTGAACTTCAAATGCCACCACCAGCACCACTACCCTTGCCTTACTGGGTGGCAGAAGGAGACCTAAGTTCAACACAAGTTGGGTTTGCCATGTTTCCATTCATTACACACCCAGTCCAGTCTTGTCTCTGGACAGGCAGGTTCTTGGGTTGTTTCTTCTCATGGTGTTAGCTATTATATAAATCATTAAAAGCAAACTTAATAACATCAGTCATGAACTTGGTCACTAATCAAATCAGTAGGCATAAACAATACAGGAGAGGAATGCACAAGCCATAGGCAAAAAAAAAAAAAAAAAAAAAAAAAAAAAGAAAGAAAAGAAAAGAAAACAAATCACTCATCCTCAATTTCCTGGAATAGGAATAACAAAATATTGCAACACAATGGAACACTATACATTAATGAAAAAAATAAATAATAAAGTCTATTACAGAGGTATTTGTTTGTTTTTCTCTCTTAATTTTAATAAGTTGCTTAATAGGAAAACAACCTCACTTAATATTTGTGGGCAACCTCACAGCCCCTATATTTTATGTGAGAGATGTTTACATAAGTATACACTCATATTAGTAAAATTCTCCCAGGCAGTGACTTTTCTTTTCTAGGCAAAAGTCAATTCTCTTTAAAAAAAGTAAGAATCTAATATGCTGAGATTAAACCACTGACATTGCCATGTTATCTCCTAAGACCTACAAATACAAAAACATAAACATCTCACATTCAATGTATACACTTGTGGAAATGAAATGATCCCCTCATACTTAACATATCTCCCATTGGCCCCACATACACAATATACATGAGTTTTCCTGTTAGAACTTTGAGCATCATTTCATATAATTATAAAAGAAATTTTCCTGATTGACAAGAGTTCTAACTATTCTCCTATCTTTAGAAAAAATGAAAACCTTCTGCAGGTTTCTCTCAATATCAAAGGCATGTGTTGTAGTAAAACTTCCCTAATGCACAGTGGATATTTTCTTCCTGAACACTTGTTTGATTTTCAATGGAGCAACCCTACTCTGGATTCTTTGTGACTAGAAGTTACTTCTTTTCCTTTCTGGGGGCATAGGTTTAGTTTTCTAGTGCTTATTATGGAGGTCTCATTCCTTTCCCCCTCTTTTATTCTGAGTTTTATTCTGGTTCTGGGGTGCTGCCTGCTTAAGGTGCACCACTTCATTGGCTTCCATATTCCTCCCAAACTCCCCTTCCCTGGCAACTTGGACAAGATCCCCCAATACTGTGGCTACAGGGAAAACCAAGACTGCTTTGATAGCAACTTTTGCCAAGTAGGTCTATTCTTCTTGCTCGGGGACCTTCAGGAGTTATATGGACACGGGGGAGAAGGGGCAAATTGACTCATGAGAAATGTTTCACTTTGTTCCTAAGATGAGTTGAAGATCCTCTGAGCATAAAAAATAAAAATTAAAAAAGGCTAAAATGACAGCATTCTTCACTGAGAAACAAAGGTCTCAACTCTGGCTTTGAGAGAGCAGCCCCTGGGACCTGACTTCCTCAGGTAAGTGAGGTTGCTGCTCCAGTGATCAAGGCATGCCTTAGAACAGCTTTGAAACTGAATGAACCGTAGACGCATCTGCTCTTTCTAAGACAACTTATTTCACTTCTGAGAAACAAAGCAAATGTGGTTTCTTTTACAAAGTCTGGAGTTCTGACTTTGTCAGTGCTAAGATCTTCCTTTTGCAAACTGTTACCTAGTAACTTGGGACACAGGGCCTGATAACCCTTTGAAAAGGGTTCAGATTGGAATCAATATAGAGGATGATGCTGAACACGGGCTCGCTTACATTAACTCTTACCTCTCCCAGAAATGATGCAGATAGTATGCCAAAGCACACCTGCTGTGATCATTCCTGCAGCCTTGTCCTCTCCCTGAGTTTTGGTAGCATGTTCTCGCCCCCTCCCCCACCACCACCACAAGCGCCCCGCACCGCCACTTGCTTTTCACCCACTGGTCTTTCCCAACACAGCTCACCTAGCATCTCATCAAGCAAAACATCGGAACCCCAGTTTATAACAAGAGCATGGGAAATGCAGCAGTTTGCCCTCTCCCAGCATCTTCATACTTTTCCCAAAGTTCTCCTGCCGGCACAAACACCCTCTACTCTGAAATCACAGCAAGCCATTAAATGACCCTTATTACAAAGACTCCTTATTAGGTCACACAGTCAGCGTGGCTTACTACCTGTCAAATCTGACTCCTGTGACAGGTGTAGAAAGTCAAGGCAGGAGCTCACTTGAGCATAACCCCTCGGCCCCCACACAGGTTCCACAATCTCCCCGCAATGCTCCCAGCGGCCTCCAGTCCCAGGGCGTGCAGCCCCTGCCCCTGCTGACCTAAGCAGCCCCTTGGCCCGCTCACCTGTTTGTAGGCATCCAGGAGGAAGCTCTTCCAGATGCAGCGCATCCCCTCTGAGGTCAGCATGCGCCTCCACTCCCCGCGAGTGGACTTGGAGCGGCTCAAGAGCAGCACCACGTGCTTGAGGAGAATGACCGAGTCATAGAGCGCCAGGAAGAGGCAGTTGGAGAAGAAAACTGGCAGAATCTGCAATGTGATCAGCAAGTCTACGCTGAGGATGCCCATCTTCCTTGCCTTCCAAGTCAGTTCCCGTGTGCGCTGTGGCTCCCCTTCACTCTCTTACTTAAAAGGGGGTGGCAATAGAGGGGTGGGGGAGGTAAAGGGGAAGGTTAGGGAGGGTGAGGGGGGGGAGAGAAGGAGAAAAACTAAATTAAAAGGAAGCCCAAGATCTCTCCTCTTTCAAAGAAGCAGAAGTGGCAAGACCAAGTCCAGTCTCTCCAGCCCAGCAGTTGGAGTGTGCCCATCAATTCATTCAATTCCGAGCTGCTTGCATTTTTTTTTTCAGGATTTAAGATGTTAAAAAAAAAAAACACCTAAAAAAAAAAAATACTGGCGTACCGGTCCCTAATCCAGTTACCCTCTCAGAGTCGGTTAAAGACAGGCAGTTCCACTTTCATTTCCAAGCACCTATGAGACTGTGGCAGAGACAGCAAAATTTTCTGTAGCTTTTCATTGTCTCTATGTTCAGATACGTAGCCTGTTTCTTTTCTTGAGTTGCCAGAGTTTTTAAAATGTGCTTTAAGGGCAGGTTTTTTTTTTTTTTACTCCCCCCTTCTTTACTCCGTTTTACACACACTTTCTGTTCTCCTTCCCCCAGCCTGTCTCACTCTCTTCCTTCCCCTGGAACGACTGACTCCTCTCCTCTCCCCACTCCCTCTGGCTTTGCTTCTGCTATCTGTGGTGCAAAGTGCTCTCTGCAGCCCAGTGAGTCTCCCTGAAGCCTTTTATACATTCCCTGGCTAATTGCTGCAATAGAGAAATGAAAGCCTAATCTTGGTAAAGATCTTGACGTCATTGAGAAAAAGGGCTTTACTTTGGCCAGGACTGCAGTGAATAGAAAAGCAAAACTCGACAACTTTTTTTTTTTTTTTTTAGAAGTGGGGGGGGGGGGGGTGGGGAGAAGGACAGTGGAATTCTGCTTTGTGATTTAAAGAGAGAGAGAGAACAAAATTAATACCTCTGATGGTTTTTAGGAAATGCTTTCAAACCTTGGGGAAAGTAATTTACTACAATGTGTAGATTTGATAAGTTAACACTTTCTGCTCTGATTATTATTATTACTGTTATTATTATTCATTTAGGAGGGGGGTTAGAAAGAAGGGATCCTGGAAGACAGAGAAGAGGAAGAAATGGTCACCTTTGCTCTATTTCTTGGAAGATGTGAATGCTTCCATTTGGTCTTTATATTTATATAGTATGACTCTCATCAGATTTGTGACCTAGGTTCCTTAAATATTTTTTGAATCAGGATTTTATTTAACAAAATTCAGAGTGAGTTTTGAGGTGGAAAACTTTTTGACTCTTTGAGTACCACCACAGCATTTCTCTAAAGCTGCTTGCTGAAAATTAATACAAGTATTCTTTTCAGTTTTACCAGTTTCTAATGCCCACCCCCCCAAAAAAAATATTTCAGACATGAAAGCAAGCTAGGTGACCAGACCTCCTTTTACTTCCATTTTGATTATATGCAGATTAAATTAAAACTTTCCATCAAATGGCATTAAGATGCCATAAGGTTGAGAAATAAATTCTTTATAAGAGAACTCTTTGCATTCTGCACTTCCTCTGCTTCTGTTAGCACAACTCCTAAGAGACCTGACACGTTAGGGAATCTATCTTTTTGCTTGAAAAAAAAACTTTAAATTAATTTGTGGGTGTTTAGAAGCAGACTTTGAATTGGTTCAAGAGCCACTCTGACCACTCCTCAATGGCCCACCTGTCCCATCAGTCTCCAGCACAGACAGGTATTTAGGCAGACAATTCTTGGGCAGAATGTCATGACCCCACCTCATTCTAGTTTTCCTTCCTCCCTTACCTAACAGATCACCTCTAGGAATTATGTTTTCTTGGAAAAAGGAGTGGCAAGTATACACCCTGGAGTGGGGATAGAGAATTTTAATTGAAAATTAATTAGCTGACTTGTCTATGTATGTAGAGCTCCCATTAAACATGAGCTAAGTAGTGGGTGCTAACCTTCAGTTAGTACATTTCTGTGTTTTATCCCTGTGACTAAAGTTTGCAAGATCACAGAAATAATTTAAAAGACTGGAGCTGGGTCATTATTTGGTGGGCCCATGGGCCAAATTCTGCATGCAGATGCATTATTTGGTTCACACGGTGCTTTTTGCCTTTAAAAAAATAATTGAATGAGAATGCATTTAGATTCTGTGAGACCAGGTATTCCTGTCTGCTTTGTCCATTGTTGTCTCCCAGTAGTTAGAACCATGCCTGGCAGATAGCAAGTTCAAGGAGGATATACTGAGTGGATGAATGGGTAGTGCATGCATTGTTCCACAGTAGGGGGCACCATTCACATACAATATGATATGACTGGGGTGCCCCAGAATTATATATACCCTAGTAGACTTGGGTGTGGCCCTCCCCAGTCTCACAACCTTCACCATCCCAATGTCTAAAAAATCTGATTCTTTCATTTTTATCACCAATTTAGTCTGTGATGAGTTTTGAATTTGCATTCCATTGACTAAATGTTTAGAGAAGACTTTCAGAGCTTAGAAAAAAGAATATAAACCACACAGAAAAATATTTTTCCTATGACTAGCATATAATGTTAGCAAAAGAATATTATTCATATATGTAATATACATTTACTCCATTCACACTCTAATCTTCCACTATCCTTATGGAAGAAAACAAAAGATGAAGAGAGGGAAGTAACAACATGGTATTTTAACCAGTGTAAATGGGAAAGCTACAGGCCAGAGTCCTAGCCAACAATGACAGGAGAAGGTGTAGACTCGGGAACTGATGCTTCCACTTACTGCCCAAGCCTTAAAGTCTCACCCCTTCTCAGACATTCATGTTGTTTTGTTTGAATTAAACCAGTGCTTCTTTGAGGGAGAGACTTCATCATCTATAAACTGATTCTTCCTCATTTATTGTTTGCTTTCAAAGAGAGAGGTATTTTTGGAAGTGGTAAGCTAAGGATAGGGATTGGTAGGAAATCAGAAAAATACTTTCTTTTTCAATGCAAAGTTCAAGGCATACCCAGACTACAAAGTGTTATAAATCAGAATGGTATTTTTCTTCTTTTTTACTTTTTCTCCCCCCTTCCTTTTTTTTTGAAGTCAGAAGTGTTTGAGGATTTAAAAAAATAGAAGAACAGCCCAGCTGGTATATCTCAGTGGTTGAGCATCCCGCCAGGAACCAAGAGACCACCAGTTGGATTCCCAGTCAGGGCACATGCCTGGGTTGTAGGCTTTATCTCCTGTGGGGGGTGTGCAGGAGGCAGCCAATCCATGATGTTTCTCTCTCACTGATGTTTTAATCTCTCTGTCCCTCTTCCTTCCTCTCTCTCTTTAAAATTCAATAAAATATATATATTTTTAAAAATAAATAATAGAACAAATAGGCACATAGCCAACCTGATTGTGTCATTTCTCAGATTTCTTCTATCATTTTTTACTAAATGAATAAATAAGTGAATCACAAAACTGAGAGTCATTCTTTTACCTATTAAAACAATCCATCCATTCTAGAAATTATACTTCCCTAAAGCTGTTTCTCTTTTTACATTTGGTTCACAGTTGCTTGTTTTAACTAATAAAAATATTTAGCACTTTGATCTTCAAGTAACTCTAAACTCATTAAGTAACAAAAATAACCCATAAAGTGACAGTACAATTTGTCCCATCATGTAGATGAGTGAAAGCAGATCATCAAGGTTGTAGAGTCAGAGCTGGTGCTTGGATATTTTCGCCAATTCTAAACCTCACTTTTTCCCTACATGACTGCTTCGTGGGTCCTGGTCATTACTCTGAGACTCAAAGCGCTTGCCCAAAGTGGTTGTGCTAAGTAATTTTACCTTCTAAACTGCCAAGGATATCTGGGATTTCACATCTGTTTAATATTGACCCAATTCAAGCTCCTCATTTAGATTTCATATGATCATTGGAAAGGCTTGGATATCTTGTTGGTAATGTTAAGTGTTCTTAGTAATCAACAATGCAATGAGTCAAATGCTAACTGATGTGTGGTGTGTTATTTGAATTTCCACAACAATGTAGTACACAGGTTTTAAATTCCAAAGAGAGGCAGAGGCAGCCCTGGCAAAATGCTCTGGGCTTCTTTTCTTTTCTTTTCTTTTCTTTTCTTTTCTTTTCTTTTCTTTTCTTTTCTTTTCTTTTCTTTTTTTTTTAATTGACTTCAGAAAGAGGAAGGGAAAGGGAGAGAGAGAGAGAAATATCAATGATGAAGAGAATCATTGATCGGCTGCCTCCTGCACACCCCCCACTAGGGATTAGGCCGACAACCTGGACATATGCTTTTGACCAGAATTGAACCTGGGACACTTCAGTCCACAGGCCGAAGCTCTAGCCCAGCCGTGGGCAAACTACGGCCCGCGGGCCGGATCCAGCCCGTTTGAAATGAATAAAACTATTGAAAAAAAAGACCGTACCCTTTTATGTAATGATGTTTACTTTGAATTTATATTAGTTCACACAAACACTCCATCCATGCTTTTGTTCCGGCCTTCCGGTCCAGTTTAAGAACCCATTGTGGCCCTCGAGTCAAAAAGTTTGCCCACCCCTGCTAGCCACTGAGCCAATGGGCTATGGCACTCTGGGCTTCTTAATAAGTGCTGAATCACTACAAAATTGTTTAATTTTTTGCTCGTTCCAATAGTATGAGAGCATCATGTCCTACCATTGCCTTTTTCTGATTGGACAAATAATGTGGATCTGAGTTACAAGTCTTCCTTTAGTCTACTTTTTGACTCTTAAATTGAGACTGAGTAAATGAAGTTGGATAACTCAAAAGCAGTCTTGGACATTTCAAGGATGGCAGCTACCACTACTATTTCCTTATTGTTTTCTGAAGGATCCAAAGAACATTTTTAAAAATTCAGTTAGCCCAGCCAGTGTGGTTCAGTGGTTGAGCATCAACCCATGAACCAGGAGGTTGAGGTTGATTCCTGGTCAGAGCACATGTCCAGATTGCAGGCTCGATCCCCAGAAGGGGGCATGCAGGAGGCAGCCAATTGATGGTTCTCTATCATTGATGTTTCTCTTTCTCCTTCTCCCTTCCTTTCCCTCTGAAATCAATAAAGCTTATTTTAAAAAATAATAAAAATAATTCATGCTATGGATTTTCAAGCAGTCTTAGTTTTGTAGGATTTTAGTCCTTCTAAGTCAAGTGATTTGTTCAATTAAAAACTGAGTTTTATCTTTATTTTATTAAAACCTTGCCAAATAGATTTTAAACCCAAAAAAATGTCTGGTCAGGATAGGTGTGATGATTTGGGGTTTGGAAAGATGATTGTCAGACATAGCCCCCCAAAGTATGCAGCTCTTGTCACAGAAGGGAATGTCAACCTGGACAACCTCTGTCTGGAGTAACTCCTGGTTGTACCTGAGAGGGAGTTATAATGAAGAGTTTATACCACAACTACTGAATCACTCAAAATTCCCCTTGGGCCCATTCACTATACAAACACAGCCATGTTCCTTGCCTTTGTGATGAAAGGAGAGGCTGAATGGATAAAACTGACAACCCCAGAGTAAACTCTGACACACCCTAGGCAAAGCAACATAGGGCTGGGGCAATGAAGGCGGGCGCTGTGGGAGGTATGAACCTTCTATCCCAACAGCCTTGGTCTGAGGTCCCTTTGCAAGCCCTGGCAGGGAGCACAGTCAGAGGTGTTAACACATTCTTCCCTCAGGAACTGTGGCTGCTCTCTTTCTTCA